GACGGGGTTTCACCATGTTGACCAGGATGGTCTCGATCTGTTGACCTCGTGATCCACCCGCCTCGGCCTCCCAAAGTGCTGGGATTACAGGCTTGAGCCACTGCGCCCGGCCCCCTCTTCCCCTTATAAAGCCACCAGTCCCATTCCCATGATAATTCATTAGCTCATTTAACCCATTAACCCATGAATGGATTAATCCATTCACAAGGGCAGAGCCCCCATGACCCAATCACCTCTTAAAGGCATCACCTCTCAATATTGCCACATTGGAGATTTTCAACATGAGTTTTGGGATAAACATTCAAACCACAGTAAATCTCCACCAACCTCCCAGGCAACAGAACTGTTACACCCATCAAAGATGTATGAGTCCATTTCTGGGTTCACAAAAACTCCTTACCAGGGGAGTCTTTGAAACCTTGACTGTATACCTCCTATGAGTCTAGAGAGCTGCTAAACACTGTTGGGTGCAGGGAGGAGCAGCTGCAGATAAAGGTGGGTAGGCAGGTGGGTCCAAAGATAGTTCAAAAAGTAGCTGATGGAGGGTTGGACTTAATGCAGGAGATCACAGAGAATCATATGGGCTACTGTGTACTCTTGGGGTTTTTTGCTTTTCTTTTTTTGGGACAGGGTCTCACTCTGTCGCCCAGGCCAGAGTGCAGTGGAGTGATCATAGCTCACTGCAGCCTTGACCTCCCAGGCTCAAGTGATCCTTCCACCTCAGTATCCCGAAGCACTGGGATGACAGGTGTGAGCCACTGTGCCCAGCATACACTCTTGTTTGTAAGTTCAAAGTCACACCTCTTTGGTTTTACTACAAAAGCAGTGTGTCTGGCATACAAATATTAGAACATTTAGAGAAGCAAGAAGAATTGTCTAAAAATCCTGCCTCTCAAATTTTGATACATAACTGAACACCCCATTCTGTGGTGAGGAGGTGTAAACAAACCTACCTGCAAAGACCAAGGGAGCTGAGAGGCAGAAGAAAGAGGCTGACAAATCCAGTTTCTCAGAAAGAGGCATTTAATAGGGAATTACAAACAGAAGTGATGTATCCGCTGGCCAAGGGACAGTGAATCACCACACTCATCCTTCAGAAAATATCCTTTATATAGCAAGCTTTTTTGGGAAAATGTGCAGTTAGTCGTGCCTCAGACTTTCTTGTGAAACTTGCGACCACTGGGGACGTTAGATAAACATCTTTATGAGGGGCGATCTATGTTATGGGAGTACTGTGGTGTGCAGGAGTCAAACATCCATCATCGGCCTGGGCACAGTGGCTTACACTTATAATCCTAGCACATTGGGAGACAGGGATGGGTGGATCACTTGAGGTCAGAAGTTTGAGACCAGACTGGCCAACATGGTGAAACGCTGTCTCTACTAAAAATACACAAATTAGCCGGGCATGGCGGCACACGCCTGAAATCCCAGCTGCTTCGGAGGCTGAGGCAAGAGAATGACTTGAGCTCAAGAGGCGGAGGTTGCAGTGAGACGAGATCATGCCACTGCATCCCAGCCTGGGTGACAGAGTGAGACTCTGTCTCAAAAAATAAACAAACAAAAAGCAACACAAAATCAGTTATCATGGTGGCTTCTCTTCAAGATTGTATCACTCTTTCCATGCAAAAGGCTACTTTCCTACACCCCCTTTCTTTGTGATGTGTGTCACACCATTTGCCACTTGCTTTATACCCTTAGCAGTGACTCTGGACCTTCCCTTGTACCTGACAGTATGATGAGGGTTCCCTCTCCTTTGCCTTCCCTTCCATGTAGTCAAATTGTGGACAAGATGCACAACAGCAGCAGCGGAATCCGTTCAAGCCCCAACATGGAGCAGGGAAGCACCTACAAAAAGACCTTCCTTGGTGAGCCAGTCCCCCAGGGCTGGGCTGGGCACTCAACCTGGGACATGGTGATGCAGGGCTCAGCCGTGTGCTTGCCTGAGATGGCCATGTGTGGGTGTGCAGCCACAGCTCTGTGCAGCAGGTATGGCCTTCAGTTTGCTCTTGGGTAGAGCTCTACAAGGCTGCCCAGAGGGCCAAGGTCAGTGAGGTCATTGGCCAGATACCCCAAGGACGCTGGTCCGTTGCCTGCCACCTGACTGGTGCTGCTCTTGGCCAGGTTCCTCCCTGGTGGACTGGCTTATTTCCAACAGCTTTGCGGCCAGCCGTCTGGAGGGGGTGACCCTGGCCTCCATGCTCATGGAGGAGAACTTCCTCAGCCCGGTGGGTGTCCGGAGCATGGGAGCCATTCGCTCTGGGGACCTGGCCGAGCAGTTCTTGGATGACTCCACGGCCCTGTATACTTTCGTAAGTTAGGGAGTGGGTTCTTGCCACCAGGGCAAAGGCTAAGGAATACACAACAGAGTGGGGTCCTGGGGTCCACAGTCACCGGAGGAGGCCTTGGGCTTGGGAGATGACTTCATCCTGATGCAGAATGGGGATTCTGTTCTGAGGAATTCCCTTTCCCCTCTGACAGTCCCCATAGCCTGGGCCTGGGTCTTTTCTGTAGCACAGTCCTCCCTCCCTCCTTCCCCCTAGGCTGAGAGCTACAAAAAGAAGATAAGCCCTAAGGAAGAAATCAGCCTGAGCACTGTGGAGCTAAGTGGCATGGTGGTGAAACAAGGCTACCTGGCCAAGCAGGTATGGCTGCTTTGGAGCACGGAAGAAAGATGAACAGTTCTCAAGCTCAAGGGAGGCATCAGTGAGCCCAGAGGAAGGGAAGGGCTGAGGCTGCTGGAGGGCACCAATTACAACAGAATCTACGAAGGCAGGAGCCTAGCACCAGCCAACAGAAGCAAGTCAAAGAATGGGCACATGTCACGCTCACACATGTGTGCCAGACACAAGGGTTGTTTGGGAAAAATGTACTATATACACACAGAATTATCACAACATCAAAAAACAACTTCTACAGAAGTGCCTGGCTTCACATATTTGTCTTGGAGGCTTTGCTGACTGGTTTGAGGTTTTGCATGTGCTGGCCTTCTGTTCCTTGCTTGGGGCATCCTGGGGTCTCTGCCGTCCCTTGTGAGATTCTGCACATCCCCTTGATACACTTTCTGAGCTAAAAACAATTTTCTCCACCATGTCAGTAGGTTGAAGATCAGACTGCACTGTAAGGCTCAGGGTTCAAAGCCTGACCATGGCCACTACTCTTAAACCGTGTTTGGGAGAGCAGCTGTGTTGAACTGGAGGCAAGCCATGTCTTGCAGCATTCCTGCCTGTGCCTAACAAAAAGGGTATTCAGTGAACAAAATCACCTGTCCTTGGCACAGGAAGTGTGGCAGACATTTTGCACGGCCTTGTGTTTGTGCACATGTTGTGTACCATATGAATGTGTGTGTCTGCACAGAGGGCATGTACACGGCTCAGCATCACTCCCACTGTTGCTTGGAGCATGTGCTGTTGCTGTCACCTGCTTCTTGCATATCAGGATCCTCGTCTTCTCTTAGATTCTTACCATCCCACTGCGGCCTGTCTACGCCAAGGCCCTGCTTCTGCTGGGCCTGATGGGAGTCCTTCCTGAGGGAGTGTGAGGAGGGTGTGGGAGGGACTCTGAGGTTGTTCCTGACTAGGAGGGCTAAGGTTCATGAGCTAACCTTAGTTCACCTGGTCAGTGAGGCCAAAGAAAGTCACACACACGCACACACACACGTCAGCTTCTTACACATTTAGATTTTATCATATAATTGAGCATTTTTTTTCCTAATGCACAATGTGAAAGTGGTTTTACTGCACATGTGGTGCACATGCAGACTGCACAAATATACATGCAGCTGCAGGTTTGTTTTTGGACTTACTTGGCCCTTAGCTGGTGCCCCTGGGTTCAAGTTTTCCTGTGCGCTCCCAGCCCAGCTGATAGCTGCTGCCTCCCTGTCCTCTTTTATGCCCTGAGTGGTATGTGTCCCCTTTCCTTCTGCATGGACCCTCTTTGGCTCTATTGACTTGACTTAAGGTGATGGCGTTTTTGCTAGTGTCACTGAGAGAAGGTGTTGGCAGGGAAGTCTGTGACATGTCATTGCTATCCTTGCGTTTCCTGCTGACTGGTCTTAGAATGTCATCCCATTGGAGCGGGCTGGCTTGCTGGGGGTTTGGCATTACATGTATAGACGTAGGAGAGAGGGACATACAGCTATCACCAATGAGCTTTGAACCCTTTCTTTGCCTCAGGGGCACAAGAGGAAAAACTGGAAGGTTCGTCGCTTTGTTCTGAGGAAGGATCCAGCTTTCCTGCATTACTACGACCCTTCCAAAGTGAGTATGCATGCTGGTTCCATGCTGGTCCCATGTTGTGATGCCCCCAGACACTCCTCTTCTGGCACAGCAGGCAGCTGGCTGGACATCCTGCCTCCCCATGGCACGCAGCATAACTTGCGCTGCACCAGGCCTTTGCTCCCACTGTCCAAACTGCTCTGCCCTGTCATCACATAGGTGCCTGCTTCTTGAACGGTTTCTTCTATGCCTAATCCCCCACTTCTCATGAGAGGGCATATTTATCATTTTCAAAGAAAAGCATCTTTTGATCTTCCCCAAAGCCTGCTTTGTGAATAGGGAGGATGAGGTAGGCTGACAGAGACTCCCATTGGCACTTCCCAGCCTCTCCATACTTTCCATTCAAAGATCCTGTTAATTCTGCCTCCCTCCACTTTTCCCCACCTATGTTTTAAAAAGTTTCTTTCATCATATATTTAAGCCATAATTTGCTAATTTGCTTTTTAAAAAACTTTGATGGCAAAGTTTTTTAAAAAAAAAACTTTTCTGTTTCTGATACTAGGTATTGCCACATGCTGAGTGTTTCTAATTCCAGTCAAAAGAAAAGAAAAAGGGCCCTTTAGTTAGCTGTTCAGCCTTGTCTTGGGAGATGCATGACTTTTATTAGTTTTTGCCGAAACAGTGAAGAGTGGGCAGTTCTTTCCTCACTGAGCTTCAGTCAGGAACTCCTACCCTAAGCTGAGAGCAGCTGAAGGAACCCTGCCAGGACCCTTCCAGGCCACAGGGGGGCCCAGGGCCAGGGAGGGATGTGGCAGGAGGAGCCTCCAGAAAGCTCCGGTTGACCTCTCCGTGGGTCATGGTGGCCTGGCTACAGGATGGAGTTCAAACTCCTTCCTTCCTGGCTACTTCAAATCCTGTTTGAAGCAAGAAAAAAAAAAATAAATGAAAAAACACTTTAGTTTTGTATTTAACTCTTACCACGGTCCAGCCTAACCTACTTTCTTTGTGCCCTTGATGAGTCTGCTGTCTCAGCTTTTAAAATAGGAAACTGAGAAAATATATATACACATATGTACCTATATACACATATCTGTAAGTACATATACATGTAAATATATGTATATACATATATATGTGCACACGCACAAATGCTCACATACATACACAGATGGAAACAGTGCAGAAAAGATTACTCAAGACAAGTGTGAAAAGGAAATAAAAGAATTGTCAAATTTCAGGGCTGCATGTACAAGATAAGGAACCATCTCAAAAGTATTCTGCAGTTAATTTGTTCCCCACTTTACTCCCATTCCTCCTCCTGTTTGGGTTGAATGCCCCTCTCCTGTCCTGGGGACCTGTCCTATGCAGGCCAAATTCATACCTCCTATCCTCCCTGAGACTGCCCTTGAACCCTCCAGGCTGGGGCAGATCCGTTGCTTCTCTGAACTTTTCTACCGTTGGCATTTAATAGTAAAAATATTTCCAGAATTTTATTTAACCATTTTATTTTTTGCCCTACCTCTTGCTGGGCCCAACATGCAGTATGAAGTTGACTATTGATTAATTGAAGGGTTCCTGGGGCCTGAGGCACGTGCTGTGTAAAATTGCCCTGAATCGTCCAGGGATACCACAAATCACTGTTTTGTATCACAGAGTTTCATGCTATGCACATGCTAGACCTGTCTGACAATGTCCAGTGTGCAGGAATCTATCAACTTTGCAGAAATGATTATTATAGCTGGGTGTGGTGGCTCATGCCTGTAATCCCAACAATTTGGGAGGCTGAGGAAGGCAGATCCCTGGAGGTCAGGAGTTCGAGACCAGCCTGGCCAAAGTGGTGAAATCCTGTCTCTACTAAAAATACAAAGGCAGCTGTGGTGGCATGTGCTTGTAATTTCAGCTCCTCGGGAGGGTGAGGCCAGAGAATCGCTTGAACCTGGGAGGCAGAGGTTGTAGTAAGCTGAGATCGTGCCACTGCACTCCAGCCTAAGTGACAGAGTGAGGCTCCATCTCAAAATAATAAAAAAAAATAAATTACTATATATATTTCTAATTGGTTTGTAAGATGCACACATGGGTTAAGAAGCCAGTGAATGCTTTTCTGTGTAGCATGTTGGATCAGAGGCTTTGAGATATTTCCAGGAATGAAAAGCAGATTTGCAAGTCTCCAAGACTGGTAACTGCAACATTGGTGGGAACTACTGCTACGGGCTGTGAAATGAAGAGGCCCAAGCTTCCTTACTGATGCATGCAGCTTTGACCACCACATGATGTCCAAGTTCAGCTTCATCTTTTATTACAAATGATTTGTGCTGAGTTCTTTAGCTGGCCTGAGTTGTAGGGGGAGTACAACCCTTTCCTTCTGTGCACTCACAGATTCCTAACTGGGTCTCCTTTCCTCTGCAGGAAGAGAACAGGCCAGTGGGTGGGTTTTCTCTGCGTGGTTCACTTGTGTCTGCTCTGGAGGATAATGGCGTTCCCACTGGTAAGGTGTAACTTCAGCCCCAGCCTGAAGATCTCAGGGGCCTCCCTCCTGCACCTCAATAATGCCTTACTGATGAAACAACAGCTTTGGGAGCTAAGCAGGGCTTTCTCAATGAGACAGAGTGGTGTGAGTTTTGAGGCAAATTTCAGAATTGAACAAAGGGTATGTTCTTGGTGTTTTTAAGAATACAGTTAAGTAATCCTTACGTTAATAATCTTTGCCCTCAGTTTCTGTGCTGATGGCCCACAAGCTTCTGCCTAAAAATAATAGCTGAGGCTCATATAGGGTTTTAGGATTAATATACTTTAATATCTATCATAACACTAATTTCACAATAGCCAGCCATAGTAAGAAGATATTATTCCCATCTTACGGCTGTGGAATTGGGGTTCCAAAAAGTTATATAATTTGAGATCAAACTCCAAATTCTGTGCTTGCTTTTAACATAAACATACTGGATTCTTTGGTGTAAATGAAGTGGTAGATCTATGGCATGCTACCATCTTGAGCATAGGAGCAGGCAAGGGCTACCGGGAATATCCAGACATAGCCATTGGCAGGCCTTAGGACACTGGTGAGGGACAGGAAATGGGAGGAAAGGGAATATCATCTGATGGGATTCTCTAACTGTATACCTTTTATTTAAGAAATACATCATTGTATGGTTTTGTCCATGTCTCAGATGACTTTCTGCTGGTTCATTGTGAAAGCAGACATCCTATTCAATCACTGATTTTTTTTTTCTTTTATTCTGCCTAGGGGTTAAAGGGAATGTCCAGGGAAACCTCTTCAAAGTGATTACTAAGGATGACAAACACTATTACATTCAGGCCAGCAGCAAGGTTGAGCGAGTCGAGTGGATTGAAGCTATCAAAAAACTAACATGACAAGGACCTGAGGGAACCAGGATTCTTCCCTCCTACCAGATGACACAGACAGGATTTCCTGGAGAATGGGAGTGTGTTTTAAGACTTTTGACTTCTTTGTACGTTTTTTACTTCTTTGGAGGGTGAATGCTGAAGAGTTCCTCAGATTACAAACAGCAGTGGTACCATTTCCTTCCCCATCTTTACGTTACCAACCTGGAAAGGCTAGAACAGCCGTTAGGTGTCAGCATCTTGAGTTTTGCCCAGCATCACAAACGGCCATTCCCTTGGGCACTAAAATAGGTTCTCTTTGTTGGAACAATTACATTGGCCATGCCATAATGCTGAATAAAACTCTTCTTATGCAGTTCTCTCTTAATTTCTTTGGAATTAGTAAAAACTGACTTTTGTTTCTGGTTATTAGAATCCTATACAAAGTTTTATAGTTTTCAAGCATCTCTGTCCCTAAGACATACTTCATCTTAAAGTGGGGATGGTGGCAAAACTTTGAACATTCAGAGAATATTGTTTTGCTTTGGAAAAAAAACCTGCATAAATATTATACATTACAGAAGTCATGGACTCTTGTCAGAGAGAACTTAATCACATATACAAAAAATACATACATAGCTTTTCCATGAAAAATGGGCATTTAGAGATGGAGAGTAAGAGTGTGCTAAAGGACAGAGAAAGATGTAAATGGGAAGACTTAAATCAAGGCATTGAATTTTGGTTTTAAAATGAACATTAACTGAGACAAATGGTACCAAGAAATTTCACCAGTTGGGAGGTTAATCTATAGTGAAAAGTCTGTATCATACAATACTTTTAAAGAACATTTTTATTACTTTCAAGTTTGTACAGTATGTGGCACAAGCTATTGCCAGCATTCTTGCCAAGTACAAATGCTTGGACTTCCCCTTAATCAACAGATAAAATACATAACTTACATTTAAGGGGAGTGGATTACTTCAAAGTGCTTAAGTAAAAATTTGTCCTCTTACTTTGAACTGTCTCTTGTTAATTGTGTCTAAAATACTGACCTGAATGAGAAATCCCAAGCTAATGTTTTATTTATTCCTTATATGGTAAGAGACTACCTTTTAAAGTACCATTTTCCATTTGGCATTTCACCAAGGTCTAATGTCCCTGGAATTAGTTTGCTTTGCCTTTTGAATATTGACAGGTGTTTATCTGAATTAAACTACATTTGGCTTGATGGCTTCCTGCATCAAAATTGGCACAAGTGTACCTCACTTTGTATGGGAGCTATCAGGATCTCCATGGCTTGGAAAGTAGATGACCATTACCTTGGGGCAAATCAATGAACAAGTCTCAGCAAGGTACTGGCACCTACATTTTAAAAAACTCTCTAGCCATTTTGCTCTTGGTGTAAAAGTAGAATGGCTGGAGTATGGCAGCTGAGGAATGTTCTGCTTAGCATGATGCAAAGCTTAGCAGGTCTCTCTGGGTCCGTCTTTGAACATTATCTACTTCAGAACTGGTTTGTCTTGTTTTGCTATAAAACTAATATGAAAAATGGTTTGGGCGGGGCATGCTGGCTCACACTTTCATGGAGGTAGAGGTGGGAGGATAGCTTGAGCCCAGGATTTCGAGACCTGCCCAGGCAATGTAACATCACCATTTACCAGGAAAAAAAAAAAAGTGGTTTCAATGTTCAATTTCCTCCTGGCCATTGATTTTCAATTAACTTATGCATAAACAAGACCCAAACTATTGATAATTTTCAGCTATGAGTTGATAGCCACTTGACCTCAATGAAAGGTGGAGTGGGGAACAGATGAAATTGTATTTTAAATGGACTTTGATGGGATATTCAAGATTTTTGGTTGTTTTTTTTTTTTTTTTTGCGACAGGGTCTTTCCTTGTCACCCACGCTGGAGTGCACTGGAGTGATCACAGCTCACTGCAGTCTAAACCTTTTGGCCTCAAGTGATCCTCCTGCCTTGGCTCCCTAAGTGCCGGCATTGCAGGTATGAGCCACCATACCTGGCAGAAGTTCAAGATTTGGATAAACTATTCACTTCTTTGCCAAGCCTATTCAACTTACTCAGAGCTCGGTGTACAACTTGCCCTCATATGTATCTTGTCCCTGCTGTCTTTTAGGTTAGCAAGGTGTATGCATGCTTTTTGTTCTTTTTCTCATGGTATCAGTGAGATATTTATCTGTTCTCTAGCTAGGGTCAATTTATAAAATTGTCATGGAACTAAGCAAAAGGCCCACATAAAATAAAAATCACTTACCATGGAAGCCACCAGTATTTTTCAAGCTATGGCTTTTGAAGTATAACAAATTTCAGTAAACAAAATCAAAAGAAAAAAATTCCTCTGTGTACAACAAAGGAGCACCTGTTATATTTTGAATGCATTCTTCATGTTGCCACCTTTATAAACTTGTTTTTTTGATACTTCAACAGACAGAAGTGAAAATTATGTGTCAATCTTAAGTACATCAAGGTTTTCCTCTACATAGTCCTAATGCAAAATGCTGGCTGGCAATCAGGGCTCTTAGAAACAGCCTTCGGAAGTTAAACTTTTGGATTTCAAAAGCTAGTACAGACTGCTGTATTTAACAAAAGGAACAAACCTTCATAAATGATACAAACTATCTGCCCAACACACTCTTCTATTTTCCAGGCCCTTTAATATTGAGTAAAGTCTAATCTTGGACTGACTATGGTGGGTTAGGTCTAATCTAAGTATTTTAATAGCTATCTAGGGATAATGAATAAAATCAAATACAACTGGTACCTCAAGTATCGTAAGAGAATAAATTTATGAAGACAAGCAGACCGAAGCAACTCAAGATTTTCTACACCTGACTAAACAATGCGTTACCTATGAAACTTATTACGTACAAATTAGTTCTTGAAGACAGAAGTAAACATGTGGAAAAAAAAAAAAAAAAAAAAAACAGTAAGTGTTCAAACAGATCCCTGTTTTAAGAACAAGAGCTCTAAGTGGCACCTAGTGGGTATTTTAGGAGGAACAAAAATAAAAAACTGGATGATACTCCAACTAAATAAAAAATGCAGCTGCTTTTTACATTTTAAAAACATATTTACCACCCTGAATTATAAACTCAAGGCAAGTAGCTTATTATACCAATAAGGATGTGGTATGATAAATTCTCTCATACAAGTTGTCATCAATCTCAAATAGATAAAAGGCACAGAACCAATCTAATTCTTTCATTGCATTTTAAGGCTTTGTCCCCGCTAAGGGCCAACTTTCACTGTGGTTAAAGTTATTTTCTCTAAACTCTTCTTTTCAAAGGATCTGTTATAGAGATCCTTTATTCACCTGCTCTTATAGTTCCACATCAACACTAAAATGAAGATAACAGAATTAGGGTCTTAGTTCTCAGAATGCTTTTTACTGGTGACAAGAAGGAAGAAGCCTATAGTTAAATATCCCAGAAATTTATTTGATGTTTGCTTTAATACATTTTATGTAGAAAGATTGGGATTATTTGCTTTAGATGCCCCTGGTAAATCTCATGAGGCATTGAACTAGAAAGGGGTGCCAATGTGGAGACATCAGAAACGGAAATCACAAGCCCAATTTTAGAACTATTCTTAAAGATTTGTCTCTAGTGAAATGAGGCCACTCCCTTAAAAATGCTCAAAGTGTTAGAGCTACTGTGTGAAAACAGCTGACATTTAGGAGGGCATTTCATGTTCTGATCTGTTAGAACATTTAAATACTTGGAAATAAAAAATATTCAGCTTTGAAGTTTTCAATACTGGAAAACTTTCAAGTCTAGAATTTCAGCCAGGAAGGGCTGCTCTGTGTTCCTTATATTGGACTCTGTTTCCCACAAAGTTAATCTTCAGCTTTGGCTTCCATTTCTTCTGCATCATCATCTCCATCCACTTCGGCATTTTCTCTTTCAAGCCTCTCCATCTGCCTCGCAAGTTCAGTCTCATCTGTATCTGTGACCACTTTGGGCTCCATTTGAACATTGAACACACCCCTCTTTTCCTCAATCTTTTCTTTGATAACAGCCATTGCTTGACTGAGGACAGAAAGGCCTTCTGTTCTCTCCAGGGTTGTCGTAGTCATTACATACCGAGGAGGAGCTATTAGATTAATCTAAAAGAGAAAACAAAAATTCAATTATGAATGTACCTACAGAACCCACAACTATTAGGATGTTTGAGATTTTATTACTCTGCTATATTAACAAATCACCCCAAAATGTGCCAATTCTATAGGACAGTAATTTAAGGTCCTACAGAATTGGCGATTATGTTTTGGGGTGATTTGTTAATGTAGAAAAGCGAATCGATACAGAAATCTAATGCAGTAGTATAAACAGTCCACTGTAACACTGAATAAGAACAGTTATAATTTCTGGGTATCTTTGGTAGCTCAATTAAATGCAATTATCATCAGTATAATGGATAATTTGTCTCTAAATCAAACTGATTGAAGAATCCTTATATAAGATTCTGAGTTATTGCCATTCAGTTAATTTTATCACTAATGAAAGATTCTGATCAAACCTCATAAAATTTGCATATGTATAGATGGGAGAAAGTGTTACTCTTTTTAAAGTGCTATCAGTATTTTGGGCACAGCAACTCTTTATTGTAAAGGCTTTCTAACAATAGGAATCTCCATTCACTGTGATAGTAGCAGTAGAAACCGAAAGGCCTAAACATAAATCACAAACATCTAGAAATATTACTAAGACTCACTGATTAATTTTAAGAGTAAAAAAGCCACTTTTGTTACAAAGTATGATTTTAAAAAAAAATCAAAACAAAGATCAAAGATCTTATTTGGTTTAGGTGGGTATTTCAGCAGGGAGGGAGACAACTGACAACTCACCTTAATGGGCATGGTTTCTGTAGAACAATTCAAACCTGCTCTTAGGGCTTCTTTTACAGCATCAATGCCTTCATAACCATAACAAGCCACTTCAATATCTGTAATTATAAAATTCAGAAGTTGACACCAAAAAATGCAAAAAATATTTAAAAGTTTAAAGAAAATCAAACATGGCAGACATACTAGTATTCAGAGACTTAACCTGAATCCAACGTCTACACTGCAGTTCCTTATATATAAACTGGAGGTAAGGAGGAGTGTGGTAAAGATGGAATATAACAATAACTGCAACTTATCTAAAACAGTTTAGAAACTACATTATCCTTTGACTCAGAAATTCTACTTTTAGGAATTTGTCTTGAAGAACATTTGTGTAAATGGGTAAATATGTATAATATAAGGGTGCTAATTTGTAGCTTTTTTTGGTATCTGTGAGAAAACTGTAGATGTTCATCAAGAGGGGACTGGTTTATGTTAAGGTTTATCTGTTCTATGAAACATTACTCAGAATAAAAAAGGATG